CCACAGCCTCCCCATCCCCCAGGGTCTCCTCATCCCCCACAGCCTCCCCATCCCCCAGGGTCTCCTCATCCTCCACAGCCTCCCCATCCCCCAGGGCCTCCCCATACCCTGTGGCCACCCCATCACCCAGGGCCTCCATATCCTCTAGGGCCCCCTTTCCCCAGGGTCTCCCCGTAAGCCAGGTCCTTAGGTTCCTGTCACATGGTTCATAATGTGAACTTTTGACTTAAAGGAAGCAGCAACCATCCAGGACTGCAACTGTAAAATAGATCAGCAGCATGTTCAAAATGCTGTTCCACTCCTCAGTGGGAGACAGAGTGAGGCTAAGCGCAGTGAGGCTAAGCGCAGTGAGGCTATGCGCAGTGAGGCTAAGCGCAGTGAGGCTAAGCGCAGTGAGGCTATGCGCAGTGAGGCTAAGCGAGCCCCCCGCCCCTGCTGCCATGTGATCTTTCTGGCCTGTCCTGTTCCCCCATCGACCGTGGGCCGCGCACCGCTCAGATTCAGAGCATCACTGACGAGTCCCGCAGCTCCATCAAGAGGAAGAATCGCCCAGCTACCCAATCGCAGGCTCCTTCTGACGCCACACAGCCAGACAAGGTAGCAGGGCCCTGCCCACGTGCTGAGAGCGCCGCATGCGGCGGGCGCTTACAGAGCCACAGCTCCCCCCTGCGCCCCCAGCCCCCCCACGCTCCTGCGAGCAGCTGCATTCAAGCTGAAATGGCAGGCGACTGTGGCGCTGAAAGTGTCCTCATCTGCAGCCGGCGCCCTTTGCCCTCTGCGCATGCTGCCGCAGCACCGGCCACTCGAACCCGAAGCCGCCTTGCTGCATGTGTAGAGTTTGCTGTCCATGTTCAACACGCATCCTTAACTTCTGTGTTTTGTTGTTAACTATAGAGTATGGGAATGACTTTGATGTATATTTATGCATGTTTTCTCATTGACATTGTTTGACCTGAACACATTGAATGTATCATTTTCTTTTTCTAACCCATTTCTTGCATGACATTTGCATTCCTTTATGTTCCTAGTTTTTAACTTTTTCTTTATTTTGCAGTTTTGGCCTGTTCATTTGACAAATTTTTCCTGCTCTTTTATTTTGATGAAATGCATTGAAATCAGCCTTGCAGTATTTTCTTTAACGCAATGCAGTTATTGTGCTAAAAATGTTAAACTTCCAGTAGTTCAAACGGTAAATATACCCTGGAAATGAGTTATGAGGAGATGCCACAGTGTCCTCAACATTTTACAGATGAACAGCTTAGTTTTGTTCCACAAACAGCCAATTCTCAAATATGAAGCATTGTCATTTTTTTCAAAGTTGCCATGGATTTATCTAGAAATCTGCACACTTTCAGGTTTTGTGTCTTACATATTATTCTCCTTTTTATTTCTGTTGTGTCATAGACCCGAAAACAGTCTTGTTGTTTGTCTTTACTGAGTATTTTAGTGACACTCCCTGTGTGGTGAGAGCGTCATGTGATGGTGAGCTGGTTGTAGCACCATCGCAGTCTGATGTCAGACTCTACTTTGCTGACTGGGGTCTGATGTCAGACTCTACTTTGCTG